TGCCTGATCTGAGCTGGCCGGCTCCGCTCCCACCGGAGAAAATGGAGGCAGCGCTGATGAAGGCGCCTAGCCTGGTGTGGTAAGCGGGGGCCGGGTGGGCCTTTGCCTCCCAAGCGGGGCTGGGTTGGGGGTCACTCACAAAGCTCCCAGAGCTGGGCCTGTCCCGCGCCTTCCTCTCCGTCTCTGCATCACCGCTGCCGTCTTTCCTGGCCTTTGTTGCCTTTGGCTGCTCAGTCTCCTGGTGCGGTTGGGGCGCTCTCAGGAATCTTCTTTTGCATCGGCCCTAAAACCTCGAGACCGTAGTTGCTTTTTTCATTGTAGATTAGTTGATCAGTGATTTATTTGTTTTTTGTTGCTCTTGGAAATGCAAATAGTACTCTGGCAGCACAGCGCACACTTCTCAGGCTCGCTCTGTCCTCTGGCACGCCCGCTCCAGACCCGTCGCCATCTTGCTCCTCCCCCAATGGAAATTTTTAACAAGTGTGATCAAGATCCTGAAGCATTTCTTCAAAGAATTATAACAAGAGATGAAACATGGCTTTACCACTACAATCCAGAACACAAAGCACAATCAAAGAAATGGCTACTAAGGAATGGAAATGGTTCAGTCAAAGGAAAAACAGACTGGTGAAGAGCAAAGTCATGGCAACAGTTTTGGGGGGATGCTTAAGGCATTTTACTTGTGGGCTTTCTGAGGAGCCAAAAAAGATAGCATCTGCTTATTATGAGAGAATTTGGAGAAAGTCAGTCAAAGCTTTAGCAGAAAAATGCCCAGCAAATCTTCACCAGAGAGTCCTTCTCTACTGTGACAAATCTCCTCCTTATTCCTCTCATCAAACAAGGGCAATTTTGCAAGAGTTTTGATGGGAAATCATTAGGTATTCACCTAACAGTCCTGATTTTGGCTCCTTCTGACTTCCTTTTGTTTCCTAATCTTAAACAATCTTTAAAGGGCATCCATTTTTCTGAAGTTAATAATATAAAAAAGGCTGAATTGACATGGCTAAATTCCCAGGACTCTCAGTTCTTTAGGGATGGACTAAATGGCTGGTATCATCACTTACAAAAGGGTCTTGAACTTGATGGAGCATATGTTGAGAAATAAAGTTTTGTTTTGTTTTTTAATCTTTTAATTCTACTTTTCCATGAACTTTTTAAAGTCCCTCATATATCAGCTGTTGTAAGACTTTTCACATATTGTTATGGAAAAATAAGTGTTCCACTAACAGTAGTGAGAGAGAGTATGTCATCCAAAGTTAATCTATCAAGTATTTTCTGAGGACCGTCAGGGAACATAGGGTACTTATACTACCAGGTACTTATACTCATACATCGTTTTCTTTGACCAAAAACTGTTACTACTACTCTACCATGAATTAATTTCCAAAAAAACTCTTATAGTTGGATCATATCTTCATTTATTTTCTACTTACAAATCAGGTTTTTGTCCTTGTTGCAGTTCATGCTGAGGTACAGGGTAAAGAGCTTCATAACTTCGTTTATCTTTTGACCCATGAATTGCATATGAATTAAATTTTGTCACATTTTGTGGAAAATAACTCCAAGGGAGTAAAGCTTTGCCTTCCCATTTTGTCTCTCCTCTGGACACTTGGAATGATAAAGCAAGTTTTTGCTACAGAAACAAGATGTAGAACATGAAACGTAAAATCAGACTTACAGTTTAAACATATAAATATACAGATCACTTGTGCACTTAAGGATTTTGTCTCATATTTTTATTTACTTACTTTCCACACATTTCTTCTTCCAGTGAGTAAAAGCACTAAATGCTGCCCATGGCTGTCAAAATTAAGATTTCTCATAAGTATTTGAAAAAAAACCAAACATTTTCTTCATTATCCTTTATATCTGGAATGTGTGTGAATGTAACTAAATTTCCAAATAATTAAAAGACACAGTACAAATATTCGATAATTATAGGGAGAGCCAGTGTGCTCAGTTACTTAAAAATGACCCCTCTGAGTTGACCACTTTCCAGACAACTGTCATCAAAAGCATAAAGCTTCACATGCTTAGGCTCCTTTTTATATTCTTTAAGTAAGAAATTATATAAAATACTTCATTTGGCTAGATGACACAAAGTGTAAAAAGGAGCAAGAGGATATCATGTTATTTGCAGTTTATAATAAAGTCAGTTTCAAAAGCTAAAGTATCCTAAGGGAAGCAGGCACTAAATTTCAAGTCTGAATTCAACATCTTTGGTAAAGATTATTTCTGTAAGAAAACTGTCTTGAAGCTCATTAGGAAGGCAGAAAATGCAAAACATAGTTTGTTTAAAACTAGTCAACAGGCTAAAGAGTTTAACCTGTGTCTCTTTTCTCACACAACTGTCCTTGACCTGTTTGCCTCTTGTGTTTTCCTGCTTTCTACCATTAGTTCAGGCACCAATGCCACATTTTTACAAAGAAATACAACATATTCTGCATCTGATTTATGATAATAGGGAAGGACTTCATCACACCCATCTCAGTACTGGACAGGTCATCTAGGCAATAAACCTACAGAGGAACAGTTAATCTATCAGATGGAGAGAACAAATCTATGGCTATTAGATAGGAGAAGGGGAAGGAGGGAGAGGGAGGGGAGAGGGAGGGGAGAGATTGGATAAGGGGCATAAATAATAAGTGTGATTTGTTACAATGAATATGCTAATAAAATATAAATTAAAAAATTAAAAAAATTTTTAAAAAGAAATAAAACATATTCTCAAAAGGAAACTCAAATAAGAGTCCTTAATTGGGATTAGCCAAATCAGTAAGAATCAAAGGAAGAAGAAGCAAATTTACTGTTTCTGGAAAAAATTATATCTCAAATATTTCTACATAGATAATCTTTTGTGAGCTTTTCAGGGAGGATTTCCTTCAATAAACTATTCTAACAGAAGAGAAGGGTTTTTTTTCCATTTAAAAGTCCTCTGAGTGTTTTTACTGTTGTTATGCAGCCTTAGGAATAACCTAGGGGGAAAAAATTCTTACAAATTAAAACAATAATATGAGGGTACTTCAAAAAGTTTGTGGAAAATAGAATTAAAAGATAATACAAAGTTTTCAATGAACTTTTTGAAGTACCCTCATATTCTTCATATTGCTTTCCTAGAGGTTAATTAATTGTTGCAGGAATTGATTGTCTGAAGCAAAACTATGATTTTTCATTATTAAATATCCTGATGTATATAAAACCAAACTACTTTGAGAATTTTTTTAACTTTTAAAATTTATTAATTTTATGTACAACTGCTACTGTGTAATTTCTTAAGAAAAGAGAATCTAATTCTATTCTTCCAGTGTTGTCATCACTTTATGAAAATAAAATGGAATTGCCATATAATAAAATTAAAATTAAGGGTCAAACTTTAGAATTCTAGCAGGTCCAAGTTCCTTACTGTCTTCTTGATAAGCTATAAATGTTTTCCTCAGCTTTCTCAGCTGTAGGGTGAAAATAATCACACAATAGTTGAAATTTTCATACCTCTCATGACAGTTTATGAGAATTAATCATATTTTTCAATAAAAAATTTTGGCATGCTAGTTGAAAGGTGACACACAAAGATGTGATTATTATTCTTAAAGAATAATTGTAGCTAAATTTTTCACATTAGAGTTAGCAAAAAATCAACCTAAGGGTAAATAAAAGGATATCTAAAATCTTATTTACTTATTTAATTTCTTTATTTTTTCTGGTGGCTGGCCAGTAAGGGGACCTGAACTCTTGACCTTGGTGTTCTAACACTGCACTCGAACCAACCGAGCTAACCAGCCAGCCCTAAAATCTTATTTAGATCAATTGTTTGGGGTTCTCTAGATAGCCTGCTAAGGAATAAAGGTGACAGGATATTAGATATTGAGGGGCACTTAAACAGCATTTTAAATGAATAATGACAATATAAAGAAATATTTCATTATTAGTTTACTAATTTAAAATTTCCAATAATGTAGATGACAGCTTTACTTTTTCACATCTACAAGAAAAAATTAGTTTACAGTCACATAAAGACTGTTCCCAAGGGAATAGTTACATTTGAACAAAGACGGTCCAAGGTTAATATTTTAAATGAGTCTAAGAAAATCCATGTGTGATTTAGTTTTTATCCAATGCACTAAATGCAAAAGTGACAAGTATATACTCAATTAATGAATCATGAATAAAGGAATACATGAATACATAATTATGTAAAGCATAAAATTAAATTTTAATCTCATTACTAAAAAATCCCCTAAAAAACATTTTCATAAGGTAGTTCAACTCGTTATATCTATGCATCCCTTTATTTCTGAACATCTAATATATAATAATGTGAAGATATAAAGTAAATAATGAGCGTAACAGGTTTTTGTTTTATAATGATTTTCCATTCTGCAAAAAAGTTTTTTCAAATTTATTAGAAAAACCAATTACATTAGTGAATGGAAATTAGTATTGACATAATATTTTCAAACATTTAGAATATATATTCTAAACATTTTCTAAATATATTCATTGTACTTGAAAATAAGAAATTATATAAAAGTATTAATTGAAATTTATTCAGATTAGCTTTCCCTCTAGTTAGGTGGAATTAGTGAACTTTTACCGTAACCATATAATTTATAACTAGAAAATAACGTGTTCAAATTATATAGTAATGATTAAGAAAAAATATTTTATACTTACGGACAAAGTTCAACTTCTAAATACTGCTCAGTTACATCATTCAAGAAAAATGCTTCTACAACTTTTGAAAACAGAGATATGATATATTGAGAAACTTAATTTTGCTTCAACAATAATTTTTTAATTTTTTTAGAATATAAAATAAATTAACTAATTATTTTTAATCACAGTACTATCTCCAGCAGAAAAAGGGACAAAAGAAATAGACATTGCCTGGAAGGAGAAACACATAGGAAATAAAACATCACCAATTCTCTTCCATATCACATTGCCATAAATTAGAAAGATTAAGAAAGCCTAGTGCTGGTAAAGTTGTGAAGAAATCAATACTATCACACGGACAAACTTTGAGCCAGTTATCTTCTCCTTCTGGCAATTTATCCTAAGGAAATAATCAGAAAGCTGGAAAAAGCAGCAAGTGTAACATAAAAAAGAAAAGATCACCTACCCGTATTCCACCAATCACTGACTTTGCACTAGCCAGCCTCCACAACTATGTGAACAAATTACTTAAAATAAATCAATCTCTATTATATATATATAAAACACACAAACACACACACACATACACGCTTATCTTCTGATTTCTATTTTCCATCATCACCTTACAAACATTTTTACAGCTTCTTTGTATTAACACTATTATCAGATTCTAGGAGTACTTTGATTAGCTCATAATCTATTCAAATACTAAAGTGGAAAATTTTAATAAAAATTCCAAAACGGAGGGATGTATGGGTTGCTATAGGAGAAAAAAAACCAGATGCCTAGCTCAAAAAAGCGGTATAGGGAAGGATTCCTGAAGAAGGTATTATCTAAGCTCCATCTTGAAAGATGAGTTGGAACTAGGTGAAGAATAATGAAACTGGCATTCTAGGGCAAGAGCAGTACAATAAAAGGTACACAATTGGGAAATATTGTGGCTTATTTAAAGAACTACAAGCAGTTCAGTCTTACCAGGTAAACCTTTCAATGTAGGAAGAACTGGTGATGTTGCAGAGAGAATAAGGGGCCAGGTCATGGAATATTTTGTGTAGAGATCACATTAAGAAGGGCAAAACTTATCTTGAGAAGACAGGGAACCTGAGAAGATTATCAAGGAGCTGAAGGATGTGTTTAAATTTTCATTTTAGATAGATCACACTGGTTTCTAAGTGAAAGACGGGTTTAAGGGCAAAGGACTATTTAGGAGGCCATGCCCTAATCCAGGTAAAAGAATATGAAGGCCTAACCTATGGCAAGGATGGTGGGGTTAAAGAGGAGTTACTGAATCAGAGAAAGTAGGAGGTGAAACTGATAGGACTTAGTAAGTAAGTCCAAATATGGAGAGTGAGAAAGAAGGATACCCTGGGAAGATATCACAGTTTCTACATTTGGCAATTTTATGTTGCAAGGGTCTAAGTGTTTGTCCCCTCCAAAGCTCACATGCGAGCTTGATTCCCAATGTGGCAGTGTTGGATGGTGGGGCATTTAAGAGGTGATTGGATTGTGAAGACTATGCTCTCATGAATGGATGAATCCATTCATGGAGTAATGGGTTAATGGTTTAATGGATTTAATGGGTATGGACTAGTGGCTTTATAAGGAAAACAAGTGAGCACGTTAACAAATGCTCTGACCCAACCCTCGTTATGTGATACCCTGTATGGCCCTGGGACTCTGTAGAAGAAGGCCCTCGCCAGATGTGCCCTATGGACCTTGGACTTCACAGCCTCTAAAACTGTGAGAAACAAATTTTTTCTTACAAATTACCCAGTTTCAGTTATTCTGTTAGAAACAACAAAAAACATACTACTACACATGTATTGTTGGTGTCATTGATTAAGATTAGGCAATTGGAGAAAGAAGTAGTTTATAAGTATTTGTTGAGTTAGGTGCCTGTACCACCTCCAGTAGATAAGTCACACTGGTGTGTATACCATTAGGAAGCTGGTATATACAAGTTCTGTATTAATAAAAGAAAACATATGTTTAACATATGACAAATTAACACTGACAAAATGTGTGCTACACAAATGATATAGAGAAAGTAGATGTTAGTACTGACTAGAAGGTTCATCCAAGGCTTCTTTAAAGAAATGAGACCTGACTTAGACCTTGAACTATGTGCATTAGAGGCAGGTGAATAGAATGAGAAAGTACATGGGTGAGAATATGCATGGACAGTAACACTATTAACCTTTTAGAAGTCAGGAGCTTTAGGTTGAATATACTGGCTCAATTCATGAGTACCCTAAAAGCTTATAGGAAGGGTTTGAACTTTAACCTAGGGATGGTAATGGTTTATGGTCTGGGAATGGCACTATGAAGAGTATTTCAGAAAAGATGAATCTGGTAAATTAACTGCGATACAGTAGAAGGGGATCACAGAGCAAACCCAAAACAGTACAATTTCATGGCATGTCTTTTAGCTTTAATTCAATACATGAGATTACTTGCCAGTGTAAAGTTAAAACTGCATTTCGTGCGAGGTAGTGTTTCTACAATAAGTGAAACACCACAAAACTTCCATAAAGAAGGTTTATAGGTTAAAGTGGTAATCTGAAGATACTTAAAGACAAAACAGGAATGCTGAACTCTTCTTAGAATAGGTAACAGAAGTAAAGGAAGGAAATATGGCAGTAATATAAAAATCTGGATTTGTAATTGTCATTTTTCACTGTTCTAGTTGTATAGTTTAAGTCACATAGGTAATTGAGAAAAAGTCAGAATGAGTCATTGGGAAGAAATATCAGAACTGCACGTCAGTTGCTCAGAAGCACTCGCTTCCTAACAGCAAGATAAAATAATAGTTCTGTGAGAGGTTATTGTAAAAAGATTTATGTTTGCAATAAAATACAGTACTTCCACTTACCCTCATAATCCCACAGTTCATTGAAAGGCTGTCCTGGTTCTCCAAGTGGGGCTGGAGGATCATTGAAAAATGGAGCACTAACTTCCATCATCACTCCTTTGTCACCTGGATTCAGCCTGACAAACACTGGCTCGTGCTTCACTGGAAAACCATCCCAAGTGTGTTCAATTTTAAAATCCATCTGACGACTCTAAAGGAAAAACATATTAAACTCTTTAACAATGTGTAAATGTTTCCTTTCATTAGAAATAAAATGAAAATTTCAATGCTAAATAACAGTCAAGAAGGTAGCAGTGTGACAAGAACACCGACTCTAAAGGAAAAACATATTAAACTCTTTAACAATGTGTAAATGTTTCCTTTCATTAAAATAAAATGAAAATTTCAATGCTAAATAACAGTCAAGAAGGTAGCAGTGTGACAAGAACACATTCCTGGGAGTCAAAAGGCCTTCTGTATTGTGGCAAGTCATGAACTCTGAGTTTTGTTCTAAAATAGGCAGCTGGATCCTAAAAGCTTTAAGACTTTCATTCTAGATTCAGCTCTCATTCCCTCATAAAGAGCACATCAAAATAATTTTTAAAAATTGTAAGTTCACTGCTGAAATTTTATTAATATACTCAGCTTTAACTATAAGCACTATGAGTTTATATGCCATCCCTTGGCTTTTACAGTAAAGTGTGCAGGTGTCTGACTTACTGGATCCTCTGAAAATCAAGATCTTTTTAATAAAAATCAACTTGATTAAAAAAAAACTTTCATAAAGCAGTAGAAGCAGTGCTGTTAATATCTATTCTTTTGGCTAAAAAGTCTTTGGAGGAGGGACTCCAGCCATGTGAAGGTCAGTACAGTTGAATTTCGCCTTCCTTTGTTCCAGCATATACACTTTCTTTACCTTTTCAATTTTTGGTATTTCAACTGTTAAATGAGCACTTGTGTGCTTGATAAATTCTCTCCAATTGAAAAATGGGAACAGAATCTGGTATATTTTTTCTAAGTATTCAATGGAAAGACATAATATTTTATCGATAAAATTACATTCTGTTGAACACTATCGATCGAACATTTTATAGATAATGTATCAATTTAATTTCACTACACACTTGCATAGGAACTGTTATTATCCTCATTACAAATGAAGAAACAGATTTGTCCAAGGTCACA